GCCATCTTGATCAGATCGTTAAACAAAATGACGAGCATCAACGTCCTATAATGTCTAATGTATATACCAAGTTTGAACAAAATCCATCTGTAAACAGCCGAGAAATGCTCGATTTTGATGATTTTAGCACAAAAATGGCCGCCATTTGGCCATCTTGAATCAGATCATGAAACAAATTGACGTGCATATGTATAATATCATGTATGATGTACGTGTGAAGTTTGACGCATGCACGGACGCATGGACACACGCACACACAGACACACAGAGGTCAAAACATAAGTCCCCGTTTTCGAACTGCGTCCAAACGGGAACTGAAAAATAAATATTGTGACACATTATGATTATACAAAACTTGTCAGATATATAATTACTTACCATTTGGTGGTGACATAGTTGTCATGTTAATAAGAGTTATTGGACCTTGTCCATCAGCATTCCCTGCAGATAAGTGAATCTCATATAAAGTTTGTGACTTGAGTGAAGTAAAAGTATATGTCAGTAGATTTGGTGATATATCTTTGATAAATTGCGTATGTTGTTCAGCTAAGACGTCTATGATTGACACTCGATAGTGAATAAGAGGACCATTAGTGAAGTCTAATTCCTTCCATGATACATATATTGTACTATGACTAGGGCTTGTTAATTCAATCACACTCGGAGATTGTGAAGGCACTGAAATGCAACATGGAAAATAAAGTCATTGTCCCAGTTGGTATTTGACTGAATTGAAGATGCACAAAAACAGTATTGTAACAAAAAACAAATTGGTATGCATATGGGGACCATTATGTCTTGTTTTACAGAAAAAACACTTGATCTGCATGCCTTGCCTGATGTTGAAGACATTTCATATCACAATCATGATATTATAATAATGATAATAATTACTTTTTGTTGTACATGACTCTCCATTACTGTCATAAAATAATCAAACCCTGCAAAAACAATGTTGAAGACACAATCTGGCAGCCTTTTCTAAATGTATGGAGATATACCACTACTTACCTCCAGAGGGCAGTGTTGTGATTGGAAAACTTGCTGGTGATGGAAATGTATGTTTGACAGTAACAACCCATACAACACGGAATAGATAAGTCATATATGGATGAAGATCTGATATAATGATTGATGTCTCATTTAACGGCTATAAATAAGATATATATGAATATAATAAGACACGGTTATAAAGCAGAATATAAATCTTCCAAACCAACTAAGCACATTGCAAGAGCCAACTCAACAGTCTGAACAGTCTGACAAATAATCCCACTCCCTAAGGTTATTTGTCATTGACATTGACACCTTTAATTCTGCATTATAAAGTTATCTGTTTTGCTCTGACAGATTAGGGCCACAATACCAAAATAATTATTATTAATTAATTATTAGTTATTAATTAAGTATATGCTTATATAACTGTTGCCATGGCAATGCTTACCTTAGGCATTTGATAATATGTCCAGAGACTAGCAATGTCTTGGTATTTCCACTGTATCAGATATGTGATTCTATCATTATTTGCTGAATCCCATTTTAGCTGTAAACTTGTATTAGAGAGTGAATCTGCAACCAACCATGGTGATGTTGGATCCTGTATACTATCTGTAGATAAGCAAACATAATGATGTCTCATATGAATAATCACATTAGATGTTACAAGCAGATTAAGGCACACATGAGTACACTCACTATTAACAGATTGACAGATTGACAGTGATGAACTCATGGGATGTATGTCAACTTACCTATAATATGTTCAGCATAAAGATTGACTGCATAATTACATCCATATGTACAGTAATTAACCTGAAACACAAGATTAAACCATTAAATCACAAACACAATAATATTTCTGTATTTGAACACCCCATGCAACTATTGTCAGCTGCACTGTGTATAAACCCAACAACACCAGCCGACATTGTCAAATAGTGAAAAAAAAATTACAAATTAACTATTCGTTTACTGGAGTTGAAAAATAACTATTTCTAAATATATATAACTTACTTTAAAGGCAGAATCAAATTGTCCTGTGTTATTCTGAAAAAAAGATCAAGCTATGGTATTTATTTTGAATACATAAAGATGTAAAGAAAAACATGGTATAGTTTGTTGAATACCATCAATACCGTGGACACATTGATGTCAAAAGGTTCACAACTGTTCAAACTTCTTAGAAACTATTTGCCCCACATTCTAATAATGCGTGTATTTTATAAGGTCATACATTCTATTATTGTTGTCTTGAATACATCAACCTGAATTAGATGATATCTAGGTTATATAATTAGATGATATCCAGGC